ATATCTCACAGTAGTTATCTTTTAACTACTCAAATGTCCAACAGAACGTAATTCAAAACAGCTAAGGAACGCTAATCCGCGAATTCGCTACAATCAACAACAGTAGTTTTCTAAACAACAACAAACTAAGCAACTACTACAAACTGAGATGTTTTCCTCCTTTTATAAGATTTTAAAATCACGCGCTAGAATTTTCCAGTACTTTCTCGAAATCAAAAAGAGATATTTATTTATTTAACGCACGCACTCTTGTATTTTTAATTTTTCCGGCTTAGCTTTCTTTTAATATTCGTCACGCGCTGCACTGCGCGAGAAATAAAACATTTTAATTTATAATTGAACTAACATTAGCTTTTTAAATACCAAATTCGTAACAATATTTTGGTAAATTTGTGAAATAATTTAATTGTCGGTCTGCTCAGCATAAGTAAACAGCATAAATTTCGAGCATTGCATATTAATAGCTTTCTTTCAAAAGAGTAAATCGTACATTAATAAGTAATTAAATTGGTCTTTAAATATTTCATATTTCGAAAAAATATTCAAACATTGTAGATCATACATACTCATTACAGATTATACTGTATAATACAGCAATTTACAGATCTTCGAACTGTGGTTCACGTAACCCCTAATGTAAGATAGAAAGATTGCTGAAACTTATATTTTATAAATCGGTAGTCCTCAAACTTTCGTAAAGATTGTCTCTAGAGTACGAGAGTAACTTTAAGGAACAACCTCTAAAAGGAAGAATTTTTTCCTTTTCTTTTAAACTTTGCAGGAAACTAAAAAATTATTTCTTGCTGTAAATTTCTTCTGGCTGTTGTCCATATTAATACGATGACTTTCTTAGTAAGGTATATGTGTAAAAATAGTTTTTCGTTCATGAAGCGCCTAATAGTATATAGATTCGAAAATAGGCCTAATTTGTAGCTGTGCCTCCGCTTAAAAATTTCCGCTGGGAAAAAAGCATAAGAAAAAATTATTTCAAGACATTCAAGAACATCTTTTCATAGGAAAAACACAACGGTTTACAATTTCCTGTATATTTCATTTTGTTTCTTCCCATTAGCCATGCAAAATTATGCTGATTTAAATAACGGGAGAATCAATATCTGAAAAACAGTTGTATCAACCTTTCAGAATGTTTCCTTATTCAACCTGAAATCTGACGATATTTAAAATTAATTTGGTGAATATTATGGCACCTTTTAAAAAATAAAAAACCGTAAATATGCGAGAGAAAATATCATTTGTTTATTTTCCAGAAGGCCATCATTCACGCCAATTGTTGCTATTAAGCTTCTTTATCCTAAGTTTATAACAGTTATTTTTAAGTTTGTCACACTTTTCTATCTCTTCTATTAGATTTCCTGAATAGCGCGCGCGCGTTTGCCCTTGGGCTACGTGTTTCTAAGCTGTTACTACGCTCGGCCGTATTGCGTGCCCTAGATAGGTTCGCTAGCTAATTTAATATTAGGGGTCAACTAGTTAGAAATTGTGTTAGCTTCGGCTAAATCGCTTTAGTTAGTCATAAGCTAAGTTCTTATTTCTTACATTTTTAAGCCCAAGTAGAGATTTTGTTGTACGTTCTGAGAAAGGGACCGTCTGTGCATCTTTATCGTGAGCAATATGGAGTAATTAACCCTTCTTGAGTTTTAGGTTTCTGTTTTTGGACTTGAGCAATTATTCGCTTAGTATGTTCACTAGGTTCCTCCACACTTAGTTAATAGATAAAATGAAGAATCCCTACAAGCAATCAAGTAACTGATCATTTTAAGGACTGACAAGCCTTTCTTCTTTGCCTTTTGTGGTACCATGTGGTAGCACCTCAGAATCATTTAAATTTTTATATGCTTGCGCCAGATATTGGATCTAAAACTGATGCTTTTAGACACATTGTAAAATTTTGGAAATATTGTTTTCTAATAATATTTCCAAAATTTTGATATTCGATATATTTTGAATTCGCTCTGATAAACGCACACGTAATCCAGATATATTGTATTCTCATTATGCACATGATTTGTTATCCTCTCCTTCAGAGATATTGTTGCGTGCGTACGGGTTCGTTACGAAATGAATGCACAAGTCCGATGAAAAATGAACAAAAATTTGTTATTATCACAAGAAATATGCATAAATTTCCTCAAATTATCGTGCAGTATTATAATATCTCACAGTAGTTATCTTTTAATTACTCAAATGTTCAATAGAACTTAATTCCAAAACAGCTAAAGAAAGCTAATCCGCGAATTCGCTACAATCAACAAGAGCAGTTTTCTAAACAACAACAAACTAAGCAACTACTACGAACTGAAAGGTTTTTCCTCCTTTTATAAGATTTTTAAATCGCGTGCGAGAATTTTCTGGTACTTTCTCGAAATCAAAAAGACATATTTATTTATTTAATGGTAAATGCACGTGCTCTTGTATTTTCTATTTTTCCGGCTTAGCTTTCTTTTAATATTCGTCACGCGCTGCACTGCGCGGGAAATAAAACCATTAAATTTATAACTGAACTAACATTAGCTTTTTAAAAACCAAATTCGTAACAATATGATGCCTTTGTTTAATATTTGCAAAAAGAAACATTCGTTCGTCATACTAAAAGTTTCTCGAAAAGATAATTATTTCGGTAAAATTCCACCCACATTATTCTTTCATTTGAGGACTGATTTTCGTAATCTGAAATTTGATCTTCGTTAATCCTGATTTTTTCCTTTCTACCAAATTTACCTTTCGAGTGTTTGGTGAAAGTCAATCTACAATCTTCTGTCATATAGTTTTTCCAATCAATGTGTTTTCACTTATATTTAACTGTGTGCATTGCATCCCCTGGTGAAAGTTAGTTCTTGATCTTATCGATGTATGAAACGCAAAGTAGTAAGAAGAGAAATTCTGGAACCATAAACTAATTATCAGCATGAAGATCCTTTTTTTCCTCTGCAGCTTTTCGCATTGTATCTTCAAATTTTTGTTTCCCAATAGATAATTTCATTTGGTGACCAGTGATACATTTCCGCTCAGTATGCAAAATTCGTGGTACTGAATAAGAGGCTACTACTTCCTCAATTCATGGTAAGTTAAATATGGTTAAAATTTTAGAAAGAAAAGATATGAAAGTTACTAAAGAATGAACGATAATTATGCAGAGACTGCTGCTTGTTTTTCATTTCCCGGAACGTTCAAAATGGTCAACATTTTACAGGAGAAAATATAACGCAAGAGAAATACCATGCTTTTTAAAGTGAGCTTGAAAATCAAATTACGCATAGTACACATCTTCAAAAATTCCTACTTCACTTCAGGTTGATTATAAGTTAAAAATGGTAAATATTTTAAAATAAAATATACAGTGAAGCGATAATATTGTTATGAATTTTCTAAATATATAAAAGGTTATAATCAAATTATATATAAAATTGTATTATCTTTTGTATAATGTAACATGAAATTCCTCTAGAGAGGAAACTCTGCCGGAAAAATAAGATTACAGGACAAGTCTGTTTAACATTAAAGTAAATGGCTATTTCGTCAAATTGGCGAGATATCGCCGAGCTGGCAATGGTTTTTGCCAACTTAACTAATTTTTTTATTGCCACATTTGACGAGATATCGCCAAAAGTCACCAAACTTGGCGATCATTTGGCAACATTTTGGTCCGGTCCCTGTATAATTGTAATCGGTACTATAATTGAATAAATGTAATTGTTCCCTATATGTAATTGTAACCGTAATTGCAACCCTTCTATGTAACTTATATTTAACCGTATATGCCTTCCAGTAGTTTACAGAAATAGAAGGCACTAAAGATTTTCTGGCGGACAGGCAAAGCTATAAGACCTAAGAGAGCATCATTTCTCAGTTTTTTAGTTCAGAGTTGACTTCGAATTATTAAGACATCTTCGTGCGAGTTTTGTTCTTTGGATGCGCTTTGCGTTGTGTTTAACGGGATTAGTAGTTTGAAGTGATAATTACTAAATTGTGCTCTGTCCTGCTGAGAAGAGCTCTGCGAGTGCTTTTGTGGAAAGTTTCAGAACTGTAAACTGATTCTTTTGGGAAAATAAATTTTATCAAGCTATCATCAATTCTGTATGTATTCAATCCATTACTAACCAATACGCTCGCAACAGTATCGCATAAATAGCTTAATACTAAATACAGATTAAAAGTTGATTAGCTTGCATGTTAAAAATTTAGCCAATTCTGGCAAGTGACTAAAATTTCACTAGAAAATTGTTCCTGAAATGTCCCCCTGAGTACTATTCTGGGTTTTGGTAAATGATTTTGTATTTATTAACGCGTAGGAATAGAGGCCAGAAGCTGCAGTAGCTGGAGATTGGTAAGATATACACATTTAAATATTTGTATATCTGAGACCCCCAGAATGTTGTGGATAATTTTTGTTCAATTTTAATTTTACTACATCAATTGTCTCAGTACTACGTCAATTGTTTCAGTAAATCTTTTAATTAAGGTTACCTTTTCTCTGTGCTCCTGAAATCCAAATGTCTAGGAAGTGTGAACAGAGAATTCTTCTAAAACACAGGAATGTTTTGTAAAGGTAGTTTGATACCTAATTATATTTAAATTACCCAAAAAAAAACAGTATGAGGGAATTCACTGTCAAAAATAAATTATGGATCTGCAATGCACTTGTATCAATTTATAACTTCCCTAAAGATATTAAAAAGAAACGCATTCTGATAATTTCTGTCATATATATTGCCAAATTAAAAGAATAGATATCGAATTAAAAATTAGACTTACGGAGATCCGTGGAGGAGTCATACATTTCTTTTGTCATTAGAATATAAAAAACAGTATAAAAAAACAGTATGGGGGAATTCACTGTCAAAAATAAATTATGGATCTATAATGCGCTTGTATCAATTTATAATTTCCCTAAAGTTATTAAAAGAAACGTATTCTGATAATTTCTGTCATATATACTTCCGAATTAAAATAATAGAGATCGAATTAAAAATTAGACTTACGGAGATCCATGCAGGAGTCATACATTTCTTTTGTCATTCGAATATAACGCTTTGCGTTGGCTGGCAAATTCCGCTCTAAGAGATCTGAAAACAGAAAGTAAATAAAATGCCAAAAATTTTAATTATATTCCTTATTTCCTTGTAAGGAATTACATAATTATAATCTATTAGGAGATAGTACTTTATACTTATTTATTTATTTATACTTTTTATTTTTTCCATATTTTATTTGTTTGTTTCAGATGGATTCCGCACTTGATGAAATGTACGCAAGTCCATCAAATATTCCTTTTGCCATCTTTTCCAAAAAGAGTCCATCAAATGTTGACGATTCTTCCACATACGATTTAAATTTGTTTCAAGATTTGTGGAGCTGGAAGGAATAGTAGTTAATTTCTATCCTATGAGGAAGTGCGAGGGTGTTAAAGTCATCTTTTATTCCGTATTCGTGGACAATCGGTCTACTGTTAAGAGCGGCTTCAATATCACATAATACAGTGATCAAACCAGCGTCATCCAAAAGAGCCTTACCTAATGTTTTTCGAAGGCATCGCTTAATTGAGCCTATCAATCTTTCCCACCATCCTCCCCACCAAGCCGCTCCGGGGCGAAAAATTTCCATGCTGTGGTGGGCATAAAACTGTTGTGCCTTGGCAGAGGATATAGTATCCCACAATAATTTCAGCTCTTTATCCGCAGCGCAGAACGTTGTGGCATTATCAGTGTACACTGTATGAGGAAGTGAACGTCTAGAGAAAAAACGTTGTAATGCAAGTAGGAAGACGTCAGCACGCAGATCGGAAACTAATTCTAAGTGGATAACTTGAGTTGTAGCACATGTGAAAATGGCAATGTAAGCTTTTGTAACGGAGTTATTATTTTTTACACAGAGTGGTCCAGCAAAATCAATTCCGGTAGTTTCGAAAGGAGATGACTTTTGAATTCGCTCAGCTGGTAATGGAGCTTCTATCTGTTCACTTCTCTTTGCTTCAGTACTTTACATGAAAGGCAAGTCTTTATCACCTTTTAAATGGCTTGTCTTGCTCTTAATATCCAATATTCTGAACGAAGCTGAGAAAGTACAATCCGAACACCGAGATGATGCATTCGTAAATGTGTTTGGCGTATCAGTAGGCTTCTAAAATGATGAGAACTGTCCAATAATATGGGATGTTTTTCAGCGTGAGATAAATCAGAAAACTGTAGTCGACCACCAAGAAGTATAATATTGTTCTTGAAAAAAGGGTTATATCCTTGATTTCTTAGGGAGTGATTTTCCTGTCAACAGAGCTTCATATTCTGAAGGAAAAGATTCTTTCTGAACGGTCTGTATCCAATAAATACGAGCTTGATTCAGTTCTGTGGTATGTAATTCACCCACTAACTTTTCTTGTTTCCTACAGTTGTAAATAAAGCGAAGAATCCAAGATGTTACAAGGTAACAATCGAACGTAAGAACTGTAGTTTCCAGCCTTTATGATTGGTTGAGTAGATACGATGTGAAGGGTCTGAACTTTTTCTTTCTTTGCCTCGAAGTTATGACTGTAATCTTTAGAAATAGTATCAGAATGAGGCCAATATTCTGGAGATTTGACTAACCATGGAGGGCCGTTCCACCCAGATTTCCAGGTTTTTTTAATTTGTTGATGGTGAAACACCTCGAGAAAGTTGTCAGCTGGATTTGCTTTGCCAGGGCAATGTCTCCATTGTGAAGGATTAGTATAGGAAATAATTATCTGTTACTCTGTTGCTAACAAAAGTTTTCCACTTGTTGGGAGTCACTGATTGCGTATCCACCCTAAGACAACTTGAGAATCACTCCCCAATGTTGCATTTGACGAACAGATGTTTGTTTCAGCACAATAAATGTTGCAACAATCGTGCTCCCATCAGGGCCGCCAAGAGCTCCAAGCGAGGTAAGGTAACTTTCTTTATAGGAGCTAGTTTGTTGCGACTACACACTAAATTCACATTCGATTGGTCACCCTTAAAGGTAACAATGTACAAAACTGAACCATAGGCACGTTCAGATGCGTCACAAAACACATGAATAGCAAAAGGAACATGTGATGAAATCCCTATGCATCGAGGAATTTGAAGGGTGCAAATATCATCAAGTTCTTTCACAGCTGCATACCATAAAGTTGATAAATTAGCAGGTAGTAATTCATCCCACTTGATTCCAAGAATCCATGTATCTTGGAATAAGATTTTCCCAAGAATAGTAAACGGTGAAAAAAGGTCTAACGGATAATGAAAACTAGCAATGCAGCAAAGTAACCATCTCTTTGTTAGTGGTTTGTCTGCAAAACCACAGAGGGAAGTCTTGAATGCATGCTTCAAAGTATCAGAAGTTGTATTCCAGCCAATACCTAAGACAGTTGTTTCCGTTTTGTGAGATTCTTCATGTGTTTGTAGTACATCTTTGAGTTTCAAAGAGTTTTTAGCCCACTTTTTTATAGGCAATTTTATTATAGCCATAAATTCTTGATCTCGTGATATAGCTAATGCGTGATTCAGTTTCCATACTAGCAAGAAAGTCATCCATATAGAGATGTTTATATATCATTCGTGCAGCAATTGGAAATTCTGCGATATGTTTAGCAGCCAATTCTCGTGTCGCAGCACAGAGTAAAAACGGACTGCAAGTAAGGCCAAATGGTAAACGAGTAAATCTGTAAACAGTTATTTCATCTGTAAAAGTAGTAGGTTGAGATGAATCAGATTTTAATTTGTACCAGAAAAATTTTGTGACGTCCCTATTCTTTTTTATGTTAGTGACAACTGTAAAAAAGCTTGCTTACCATCACATGTAACAGCGAATTCATGTCAATCGAAATCTTAGTAGACAACCAATAGTTTCAGGAAGAAGATTCGGGCCAGCTTCCAAGGTATCGTTCAGTGAAATCATTCCTGGAGCATTTCTGTGGAGCATGCAAGGAAGCGTCAAACGCAATTTTCCACTTGGTTTCAGATTGCGTTTTCTTTTTTACATGATGAGGAAGGTAATATACTGGCTTCTCATTGGATTCATCTATGGAACAAACTTCAACATGCTTTTGTTCAATGTAATTCAGCATGCATTTGTCATATTGTGTCTTTAACACATCACTAGATGCAAGTCTTTTTTTAAGAGAATAAAATCTGTTTTCCACTATAATTTTGTTTGTAGGCAAAGGTGTGACCAATGGTTTTCTAGGCAGAGACACAATTCTTTCGATTGTCTTCAGTGTTGTAAGTTTTGTGAAATTCTGATAAAATTTTCTTCATCGCGAGTAGTCATTCTTCGTTTCTGCGCATCTTGTATCCCTATGGAGTCTTAATTCTAATTCATTTAAACCAGTTTGAAGCTCACAAATTTGAGCAGAAGTCTTCTCACGATTGTAGTATTTGTTCTTGTTCCACTAAGAACCCAGCTCCAAACAGTGATGGTACCATAACGAAAGATTCTGAAAGCTTCTGGAGCTTGTGCGAAACAATTTGCCAATAATGATCACCACCAATAAGTATTTCTATGGGCAGTGAAGAGTCAATCCGGTGGATCAGCAATTCTCAATCTTTTCTTCTGAGCAAAGTGAACTATTTCTGGTTGGAGCAGTAGGATGTGTAGTATAGGAATTGGAGCTTTCAAATGCGGAGATAAAAAATGCTTGGTTGCTCCACAAACTTGAAAGTGACAGTTGAACACATCTACGTTGTTCTTGTGAAGTAAAAGATTCAAACGCTTGAACTGAAAGTGAGGCAGAACTGACAACTTTAAGCTTAAGGTTTTCAATGAGGTTTGTATGAACAAAACTTGCTTGGCTACCACCATCTAAAATGCAGCGTGTTAATTTAGTAATGCCTTGTGGGGCCAGTAACATACACACGAGCAGTTTGCAAAAGTGTAAAAATTGTTTTAGGAAAGGTTATGTGATTTACAGCACTGTTAGTTATCCTGCAGTTGATTGTTTTCAACAGGAGAACAAATAGAAACATGATGCCTTTTCTTGCATTTAGTGCACCATGCAGTATTTTTCTTTTCTTTGAATCTGTATGACCACGGTTAGTACACAGAAAGCATCGATTTGAAGTTTTAAGTTTCTGAACACGAGTATCATAGTCTGTAACAGTTTTACAATATTGAGGCCAATGCCCTGTAGTATCACAAAATGAACAAATGGTGAAATTTTCTTACGTTTATTTACTGTTTTGGAATTGATATTAAAAGTTTCTACAGTGCACTTTACGGTGTGATCAGAAAAAGACGTACCTTTAACTCTTTGTGCTGCAACTACACCTTCCACTTCTTCTGCCGAGAACTGCATCAATCTAGTAATATTACCTTCGTTTAGTTTTTCACGTTTGGCTATAGCATAATCCAGTGGCAACAAATATCATTGGGGAACGCACGAATAATTTTTGGCACTAGGATTCTACCGTATGCTTCAATATTTTCACCCAGAGCAGTTAAAAAGCTTGAATTTCTTCTGTTACATTCTATGTAAAGATCATCATTTAGATGCGAAGGAGATGGGTCTTGAATAACATTTAAATGTTCTAAGTAATCTAAGTGTGATTGGATAATTCGATCTTTATTTCCATATCTTTCCTCCAACAATTTTTTTGTTCTTTCATAGGTGTCTCCTATTACACTAATTCCATCAACAAGGCGTTTAGCTTCACCATCTAAATAACCTCTGAGAAAAACATGTTTATCAATAACAGAAAGATGAGGATTGGCATCTATAGAAGATTTAAACTGTTCCCAAAAACATTGCCACTGTTCAATTTCTCCTGTAAATGATTGTAGTTTAATTTTGGGCAATTTAACTGTATATGGTTGAGTCATAGGTACTGTAGTAGGAGGGTCGCCAAATGTCATCGTTAAATCATTGGTATCCATATTCGAAGCAGTAACATTATTTGTAGTTGATGATTATTTATTTTGCATAATTTTTCGTGCTTTGAAAATTGTAGATTCACCAGTATCTATGTAGTTTTCACACTGCAAATTATCATTTTCATATTCATCGTCAGAAAGGCATTTGCGAATTTCGTTATCTATTAGTTTCATATCATTTAAAGCAGTTGTTAAGCGATTA